ATTTTGAACTCGAATTATCTAAATTTTTTTTAAAAAATTATAGCTAATTAAATTGGTTATTTTTATCCAATATATCCACAATATCCAAATTGACCGAAAAATGCCTAATATATGAATATATCAGATTTTAAAATCTAAATACTTTTAGATTATTATATTTCAGATATTTCAGGTACCCGTTCAATTTTTGATGCGGTTCGCTTTCAAAGTGAATAATTGTAATATATGTTTACTTATAGTTTATATCATTAAATTAAAATTATTATCAATGCATTATATTTTAAAATCATTTAAAAAAAATTATTACATAATTTTATCTAATTATACTATTTAACCGCTATAATGTTACCAATCAACCTTATATTTGAATTGTTTTCTATTATCTAACAGCCTTCTCTAACCACTGATTCTAACCGTCTTGTTTTAAATGACCCTCTGTGCAACCGCTCAAAATTTCAACCGCTCGCTTCAAACGGGGTCACCAATCGGACCAATTTCAATACCAGCATTCGGATTATCTATTTTTATGAATCAACCTCTCAAATAGTTTTTTTTTTTTGTGATTCTTCTTATTTGCACATTGCTATTGTCCATCATCACTCTCGTAGAATCGGCAATATTCTGAGTGAGATTTGTTATTAAGATTGGAGAAGAGATATATTATTAGTCTTCGTTTTTGCAGCTTATCACTATTTTTTATGTGACTAAATGCTTAATGAAGTATCATCTTTTTTTTTTCTCAATATAATAGACATACCAATGTTGTGATGTGATCATTTACATACCTTGTATTTGATGGACAAAGTTAGCATTATAGTACAATAGAAACACTTATACATTACATTCTTATTTCTATGAACTCTTTTAGTTTTTTTCCTTGTAGAACTATATGTTCTCGTTGTTTTATAACTTCTCCATCTACCTCTTTATTATCTAGAAGAATCCGACTAGATTCATGTATTTATTTGTACACATGCTCACATTATGATTTGTGAGTCAGATATAAAATATCTTCTCGATCTAGATGTTGAGTTGTATACATATCTTCTCGATCTAATGCTCCTTTGGACCGAGAAGCCATTTCCAAATCTGAAGCAAATTTTATGCAACCTTGTTTCCAATATTTTCTTGCCAAAGTTGTATATTTATAGGTAAAGCTCTATGTAATACCTTACATTTTCATTTTATAATGTATTTTTATAGGTAAAGCTCTTTAGATAACTCCAAAATGTTATAGTTTTAGTGTTTTTAACTATTGTAAACAATCTCATGATCCGGTGTTTTTTTGTTTTTTTCATGATCCGGTGTCATTTTAGGTTCAATAAAATGAGAAAATTTGTTATTGGGAAAATATTTCAATATGTGTTTGTTCAGTTCAAGAAAAATAAAAGCATGCAATTGCTCTTTTTTCATTATCTTTGGATGTAAATTGATTAGTTATGAATGGCAAGACTTGAATTGGATATTTTATCTCTCAAAAAAGTACAATCTATCTGGTGTAATGGTGTATCATATACTTTTTCCGTATCATCTGCATTTTAACTACTAAATGAATACAATATTAACATACTACTATAAAATTCTAATCGTCAATCAAAAGTATAATACAACATCTAACGATTTTCTTACTTCCAGTTCCAGTAAAAGATAATGCAAACGGAGTGACTATGGATGATGTAATGGAATCAAACTTTTTTATTTAATTAAAGCTAAAAACTCTAATCGTGTTGTAAAATCCCGAATCTTATTGACAATAACATTATCGTTAGCACTAAGTAAGCTACAATTAATTTAAGTATTAAACAAAAACAAGAAACTAACGATGTTATATTAAAAAAAAAGACAAACCAAATAAAATCTATTGTGGTCTGATGCGATGCGACTGACCATAACATTCTACAGTTAGCTTTCTTCACCACAAGTTGGGGAAAAACTCGCCGCCGTGAGAAAAATGCAGAACGGACCACCGGTTACGGCGAAGGAGCAACCGAGAGTCGCTACTCTTTACATAATCCTCACCACCGCT